ATGCTAAAATCTAATTTTAAGTTGAAAAAGAATTGTAACTAAAGTTAGCCTAATTATAATATGCTAAAATCTAATTTTAAGTTGAAAAAGAATTGAAACATCAGATGAGCCTTATTATTTAAAGCATCCCTCCATGGTGCTTTTGAAATACAGGGAAAGAGAGGCATAGAGAGTTGTCTCCACCCTCCCCCAACCCCTCTTTTTTTGTTACTTAACTGCCTAAAGTCAGAACTAAAGAAACTTAGGGATCTTCCTTAGGGGATTTGTAGAGCCAAGAGATTCAAAAGAACCAATGTCTAGGCTAGCATATTAGAATATGACGACCCCTCACAGTCCAGCCCCACCATTTTGTAGATGATGGAATTGTTGCCCAGAGAGAAGGGACTTGTCCAAGGCCTCACAGCTCATTTTTGGCAGAACCAGGGCTTGGATCTTGATCTTTCCATTTAGGTTTCTCTTCACTTTATTGGTGTATGTCAAGCATTGTTTGGATTTAAGCAACAAAACTCCATCAAACCAGCTTAAGCAAAACCCAAAACCAAAACCTGCTGCCGTGGAGTCAATTCTGACTCATAGCAACTCTATAGGACCGAGTAGAACAGCCCTGCAGGGTTTCCAAGGAGAGGCTGGTGGATTCAAACTGCTGACCTTTTGGTTAGCAGCTGAGCTCTTTAACTACTGTGTCACCAGGGCTCTGCTTAAGCAGAAGAAGGAATTTATTGAGAGCATGCAGGAATGGCTCCAGGACTTGAGTGATTAGGAATCATCAGAGATTGGAACTGGGATATGGAAAGTCATTAAAAGTCAAGATTGCTACTTTCTATTTCTCTTGCTTTCAATAGAGGTTACCAGTTGTTAGCCTTGTCTGTGGGTTAGATTTGGTCCTTAGATGTTTATATTTGGCCAGTATTAGCTGAAAGGCTTGTTACAACACTGATTGTTGAGCTCCACCCCAGAGTTTCTAATACGTCTTGGGGTGTAGCCAGGGAAGTTGCATTTCTAACAATTTCTCAGGTGATGCTGGGGAATCACACTCTGAGAAATTCTGAATTTGAATTCCTTCAGAAAGGGCATGTTCCTTCAGTTTACCTCACACCTGACAAATAGGTGGCTTTAAAGAACGGGGATTTATTGTCTCAGAGTTTTGGAGGCTAGAAGTCCAAATCAGGACATTGGTTCTAGGACAGGGTCCTTCCATGTCAGTAGCACCAGAGTTCTGTGGCATTCCTTGGTGTTCCTTGGTGACTATCTTCTCCCTCTGTGTCTCTCTGTATCTATTCTGCCCTTTTTTATAACTCAGAAGTGATTAGGTTTAGGACCCACCCTAAGCTGGTATGACCTCATTAACATAAACTATTTCCAAACAGGATCACATCCACAGGTACAGGGGTCAGGACTTCAATGCATATTTTGAGGGGACACAGTTAAATCCATAACAGTAGGACTTGTCTGTCTTGTTCATTTCTTAAAAAGTGCCTGACCACCTCCAATTTAGTACCCACCCAAACCAAACTATTGCTGTCAAGTTGATTCCAATTCATAGCGATCCTATAGGACAGAGATGAACTGCCACGTAGGGTTTCCAAGGCTGTAAATCTTTATGGAAGCAGAGTGCCACATCTTTCTCCCATGGAGCAGCTGGTGAGTTCAAACTGCTGACCTTTTGGTTAGCAACCAAGTACTTTAACCACTGTACCACCAGGGCTCTTCCAATTTAGTACATGTACCTAAATCGTAATATTTTGCTAAATGTCTCTCACCCTCTTTTTAAGAAGACAAAGCTTCCTAAGACAGGGACTGTGTCTTAGACCTCCTAGTAATACAGCGTCTAGCATGGGGCCTGGCAGCTAGTTCTCAAGATACCCTCCATAAATTTATATTGAATGGATACAGTTCAGGGTAGAAAGGGCAGGCCTTCTATCCATCTCTATAATCAAGAGCCTTTCACAGCTCAGTGATGTGCTCATGAGACCTCCCGTCCTTGTCTTCCTTGGCTCTTGGAAAGGGCATTTCCTAACAGTCAGTACCTCCAGAACTTGAACTTTCCAGTTTACCCTCAACTCAACTACATGTGCCCCTGGTTTCCTCTGCTGGTCCATCAGCCTGGCACTCTCTGTCAAGGGGCTGAATGTAACTCTGCCTTGATGTTAGGTAAGAACAGAACACTGACCAGAAACCTAGCCATTCAAGGGGATAGATTTCTCTGGAGCTACTTTTCAGTGCAAGGGGCCAAGGCAGGTACTGGTTCCAATAGTTTTGCTACGTTTAATAATTGGGATGGGAGGATAGAAGTTTACAATAGCAGAGCTGGGAACCAATCTTGGGGCTATTTGGCTGTGTATGTTTGTGTGTGTGTTTAATATGTAAGAAACTCAGGCCTGGACTGTGAAAATTATTTGCCCAAGATCAACATGTTTATTTATTACTGATTTATTTATTTTTATCTCACCTGGTTCTGAAAGGGTTTCAGATGACTTAACGATGTACATTAAAAACAGCATAAGTTGCACAGAGAGATTTAAAAGGGATAGTGATGTAAAATGGATCTAGGTGTGTAAACCATAAAGCAGCTTTTATCAAGCGGGTTTTATAGAATGCTAGTAACACCAGATGTTAATAGTTGTTACATAAAAAAGGGGTACCGGGGTCAAAAAAGTCTGACATGGTTAAAACAAAGTTAAACAGATGATCTTTCCTGCAGAATTTCTCACATCTTTAATATACCATGTGTATTGTGAATCACCAAGAATGAGACATTTCCCAAACTTACTTGATCCCAGAATCCTTTTTTTCATGGAATATTTGAGGAACTGGTATTCTGCCAAACACCCATTGGGTAATTCTATGTATTTTCTGAAGATTTGGCTCTAAGCTTTCTAGGGCCATCTGCAAAGAGGAAAAACAAAGTAGGTTCAACACTTCACACTGTGCCTAGATTAAAAACAGACCAATCAATCAAGGGAAACCCAGGCAGGAACTTCCTGGATGAACTTCACAAACCGGAAAAACGTAATGAATGAGATCTTCAACTTCTCTACATATATTGCTAACTTTCACTGTATTTAATCTTGCATGATCCTTCAGTATAGGTGAAAGTCATCACATCTAAGTATAAAAACAATTCTATAACAAACCAATACAATATGCTACAGATACATAGTTCCTTGCTGATCTGGCTTAATCTAGAAATAAATTTTACAGTATATGGAGGGTTACTCTGAGCCAGAATTTTGCCAGAGAGATGCTCCTTGGCCAGTTAAAATGCCTGAGTAGATAACTGAACAGGGAGAAGGAATGATGCTTTATAGCACAAATGAAGTAGTTTAAAGAAAAACAAGAAACAAAATCACAAGCTCAGACACCTGAATATACTATCACCCTACTATGGGGCCAGCCGTAGTTCACCCAGCTATGTGAAGGCAGAGCCAAGACTAGGAACTAGGTCTTTCCACCACAGATATGTTTGCATCTGTTACCAAACTTACTACTTGGCTTTGGGAGAGTGATTTTTCATGGTTTTTCTTTGTTTCTTAGCTCCTGAAGGTACACAGCCGAAGAAAGGTTTACAGAAAACCATCGATATATCCAAGATATTAAACTCTAAATAAAACT